ATATCGTAACGAATAGAAATAACCTTAAATAACGTATGGTTCTCTGCCTCTTTCCGTCTCTTATGCATAACGTTAGTTACTTTTTAAACACGAAAATCGCATTCAGCATGAGCATGACACGCAATCGGTTGCTGTGGTAATGAACAACCTGCTTGTTAAAGCGAACGTGTACTCCTGTATCGGAGGCAAAATGAATCAATATGCAGCGCAAGTTATATATTTCGAACTCCAAACAATTAGCCACTGAACCAGTTTATAAAATCTTCAAGGCTGTGCTGGTTGCATTTGAGCATGGTCATGGGGTTTTTCTGATTTTTCTTGAGACTGGTAAGCATTAGCATCAATAGTAGTCGTGTCTCATTCATTTCTTAATTTTATATTTGGAATAAATCCCTCCACCGCATACCGTAACCCCTTTTGCTTCGATCTTGCTTGATATCGCGGAGGTATTGCTCCAAAAAAGGTCACGGACACGCACGGGAATCAATACCCTTTGCCGTCATGGCAATCTGTCGCGCTGCCAGTGTTTGACCATTTGTTTGACGGAGGTAGCAGCAGTAACTAAGGGGGGCGGGGCTCGGCGAAAGGCTAATTGGTTTGCTTTCATAACGTTGAAACAACACGTTGATTTCAAGTTGATTTTCCGTTAGTTTTGAAAGAATGACTCGTCTGACGTTGGTTCAACGTTAATTCGATGAGCAAAACAATGTCAGATCAACGTTGTTTCGATGTCATATTTCCACGTTGATTCAATGTCAGTTTGCTATCTGGGACGGTTATTTGGTTTTTCTATTTGAAACAAAAAACAGAAAAACGGTATTTTCGTTTTATAATTACAAACGGATTACGGTGTTGTGCCTAAAGGCCATTGCACACCGAGTCCGAAATTCGCATCCGAAATTTTCGCACGTTAAAAAAAAAATTCGACCTCACGTTATGTCAGTCGCGCTTGCACACCGCCTCCGAAACTTTCGTCCGTCATAAAATTAATCGGATCGGGTTCGATTTTCTGCGTTTTTCGCATCCATTCCAGAGCCAGCATTTTGAGAGGTCTTTTGACAATTCAGGGCCGGGGGGAGCTCGTCCTCAAATCATTGATTGCACATATGCGCCGTGCTTTCAGTTTCGGTTTTCAATTCGATCAAGTGTTTATGTTCTCTTCTCTATATTGGATTATGAAATTAATAAACCTCCCCTTTCAATCAGATTGAAATTTAGGATCGAAAAAGGTGTGATTGAGCAGCCTATTCGATAACTAATGTATTATTTGGGCACAATACACAATAACAGCCTAACGTTAGCTGTTCTGTCTGCCCAGCGCTTCCAATGGGCCGCGCGCGGGTGTGTGTTTGTCCGTGTGTGTCCATACCTGGTCCATTTCAGACACACTGCCAGTCTCCGTTCAGAATCGATTGGTTCACGGAAATTGGTGGTCTTGTTTTTAATATGTGGCTCTAGAATCGCTAGCAAAGCATCGAACTGTCCCACTGACATTCTGAGGTAAATTTTGAATCGCTCAGGATAAATTCGCAACTCCTTGATAAGGAAAGTCTCCTTCCTCTCGGTCTCGGCGCAATTTCAGGATTGGATGGACGTAATATTTTTTTTCTTTCTTCCCTTTTCAATAAGAGAGAGGGCAAAAATCATCCTCACTGCTTGACGAATCCATTTGGTATTTTTGCGTTTTTCCCCGCAAAGGTTTAAGAAATACGCAACGGACTCGGTGTGCAAGGTTTCTATGCGTGACGAATTTTTAAGCTGACGAACACAAAAATACGCATACGAATATTTCGTGCTCGGTGTGCAATGGCCTTAATTCCGACCCCCCGGCTAAAGACTACCCCCTTTCGCGTGCACGCGGACAGTACCGTCGTGTTTCCGGTAGATGGCAGTTAAAACACGCAACGTTCGGTTAAACGCTTCACTGATACCCACTCCAAACGCTCAAATCTGTTATTTTCCTGTAGATGGCAGTATAAACTCAGAAACGTAATTGCTTTTCAACCCTAATCGTAAAGGAAACTGGCACGTCCGTTGCAAATCTCTTTTGATAAACGCTTCGATGGCGTAATTTTTTCAATTTTCTTCTTCTTCTTTTTTTCTTTTCTGCTTAGATGCAAACCAAGCTATGTTTTGGATCATATTGTCACTTACACCGAAATGTTTATAATATTCCAATAAATTTATGAAATAAAATGCATACACAAGGATTTTGTCTTGGTACTGAAGCTTCCAGTGCACATAATACAACAAGAAGAAACATGATAATAATAAAATATTAAAGTAGGAAGACACGATAGGTTTAGTCATAATGAACTTTAACAGATTATGAACATATTTAAAGTAATTTCTTATGGTAATTTATTTTCTCTAAGTACACAAACGCTTCCTAAAATGGGTCTGATTCACTCTATTAACATGGACAGATTTAGTTATAAAGGGGGTATTATTTGGGCAGGCCGTTTTTACCCACCTGCCTGGATTATACCCCCCCAATTTCTTCTATCTAAATACACAAATGGTTCCTAAAATGGGTCTGAACACCTACACCAGCAATACTGTGTGTAAAATGCTACATTTTACTCTATTAACATTGACAGATTTGGTTATAAAGGGGGTATTATTTGGGCAGGCCGTTTTTACCCACCTGCCTGGATTATACCCCCAATTTCTTCTATCTAAATACACAAATGGTTCCTAAAATGGGTCTGAACACCTACACCAGCAATACTGTGTGTAAAATGCTACATTTTACTCTATTAACATTGACAGATTTGGTTATAAAGGGGGTATTATTTGGGCAGGCCGTTTTTACCCACCTGCCTGGATTATACCCCCCCCAATTTCTTCTCTCTAAATACACAAATGGTTCCTAAAATGGGTCTGAACACCAACACAAGCAGCAATACGGTGTGTAAAATGCTACATTTTACTCTATTAACATTGACAGATTTAGTTATAAAGGGGGTATTATTTGGGCAGGCCGTTTTTACCCACCTGCCTGGATTATACCCCCCCAATTTCTTTTATCTAAATACACAAATGGTTCCTAAAATGGGTCTGAACACCTACACCAGCAATACTGTGTGTAAAATGCTACATTTTACTCTATTATAAAACGGTTAGTTCCAATCCTTGATTCTGATTGGTCAATAGCTGTGCTTTATTCACGATAAAACACGGCTATGACCGCTTCACCCAACGGTTCTATTTATCACTGCGCCCTTAGCAACACCCTTAGAAACCACACATATCAACATAGGCTAAACAGAAAAAAACTTGAGAATTAAAAGGCTAAAATGTTTAAAGTAAATTTCGATTTACTAGGTGGCATGACGATGGATAAGTGGTTTGAGGAACAATTTGGAGAGACTTCTACAAATACGAAACGTCATGCTGAAGTGCTGAAATGTAACACTGACACATTCGAGAAGACAAATACGTAATGAAAAAAAAATACCGTGCAGCAAACCCATGAATGGGCAGTGAAATGCTTCGGTGATTGGTGTAGTGAAAAGGGTTGCAGCATAGATTTTAAACAAATCACCAAGACGGAACTCAACGCACTTATGACTTCTACGGAACTGTCAGAACCCAGATAGCAACAAAGTCTGGGCCGAGTCTGGCTTATATTCGGCACTTCTGGCTTAATTCTGGCACTGTTTTTTTCACACTCTTGTGTCAAACAGTACTAGGCTAAGCTCTGGCTGGAGTCTGGCTAACCAAAAGAAACAAATCAAATTGTATCTGTTTGGCTAAGCTTTGGCTTGAGTTCGGTCTGCCAGAATAAGGAAATTTTTGGCTGAGATCTGGTTGGGTTTTGGTTTGCTGAGCAAATAACAGACCTCATGAAAGTGCTGTACTGTAAAATAGCCGTGTAAGATGTGGTGTTAAATTGGTTCATATTTTAGACATAATTATAATGCAACCTCATAAATAGGGTTAATTTTGTTAAAAATAATAAAATGAAATAAGTTTGTTATAGACCTAGTTAAAAATACATATAGATATGTATGCAAATAGTTCTCTTTTACACATAAGTAGGCAGGTTTAAGGAAGAAGCCTTGATTATTCTATGTGCAAGATATTTTAATGGGGGGGTTAAGGAGGTGATAATGTGCAGATTGCAGAATGAAAAAAAAGATGTTTGCAAAATGACTGAAGACAAATGTCAGTCTGCAGCATAGACAAAAGATTGAATGGAACTGAAAGAGTACTTTGTGTTATCCAAATGGTAATCAATATGCCACACACACACACACACACAAAAAATTCACTTTTTGGGGAATTTATTAGGTAGCCTACAGATGTACTACAAAAACCCATGGTTAAACTATGATTTTTTGAAGCAAAAACCACCCATGCTTTGGTTTTCACAATTCCTCAATAAAAAAATTATATAATCTCCATAAAATAGCCTATACATAGCCTATTGTACGTATTTGGAGAAGAAACATTTATGTTCTCCACGTAAACATTGAAATCGGTTAAATAAAACGTGGTTCTGTTTTTAAAAATCTCCGGAAACTTGCGTGTTTTAGAGCAGTGTGAGCAAACCACGCGCAGTCGATGCGACGTCTGTGGCTGCTGATACAATCTGGTTTTGCAATGCATCATGGAAATTGTAGTTGATTTACATGTACAGTGTTAAATCCGCTTTGCAAAAAGACTACTTTTCCAGAATGCACCCAGTGACACCATCCGCCTACCAGAGGATCCGGAAGTTGCGTAGCAGCTATTCAGCAACTCAACGCAGTCGCGGTGAAATTCAAATAACTAAGTTAGTTGTTCTAACTTCGACAATCACGCGTGTTGGTTTTATCTTTTGAAGTTTAATACATGATCAAGGTAAGTTATAGTTTTTCACTATCTTAACACGTGGATTTAATCTATAGCGCATTACTAGATACGATTTTGGGGGGTTTGTGTGGTTGGATTTTATTTGTTTTTTATGTGGAGAGGATGTTTGAATTCTGTTTTTCATTGAAAATTAACATTATAGTGAAGAAAATCGGAAGCTGCTTCTTGCTGAACAACAGCTGATCTTTCTGAGGCCACCAAAACGGAAAATAAAGTAAGATTGATTATTTTTTAACGTTAATTCATTAACATAGACCTTTCTTACAGGTCCTTATATATTTGTGCAGTTTAACACATTATAATGCACATTTCTTTTTGAATTGCAAAAAGGAATTTTCACTGAATAGTCTTTACATGACCATACCACACTTTCTTAATCAAATTTAGTAATCATTAAAAAAATGTACCTTTCCTAAAGATGAAACAGGCGACTAATGGATGAAAATGACCCCGATGAGGAGGCTACTGCAGCCATGGCAAGTAGAGAAGTTCACAAGACCTCACAGAACATCGCAGGCAACAGGATTTAACTTTACAGTCTCACAGACAGGCAATACAGTCACCATGGCATCATGAAACACCCAGACCACAGAGAAAAAGCCTCTCAAGTGATGACCGATTAATAAGATGTAAGATTTCATTTAGTATTTTTAATAAGATGTAAAGATTTCATTTAGTATTTTTCATCATATATTCACTGTTAGTGTAAGGATACTATAGCATGTCATAGCAGTGGTGTGTGGCATGCATGAAACATTTACACTTTTGCTTTACTGTTTGTATGAATTTAATGTATTGCTTGGTTTCTGTGCTTTTTAGTACGGTGGCTGAGAGGTCTCAACATTCTGCAACAGAAGAAATTGATGCAAACAGAAAAAAAAACCCTGTAAAATAAGAACATCTTTATCACATGTGCTAAACACAACCAAATACATAAATGCTCTCCAAATGTCCGACCAACAAATATCTACTCGACAATGGTGTTCATTGTTTTATTTTTATTATTATTTATTGTTTGCATTGTATTTGCAGCATGTGTGTTGTGAAACTGATGTCTTGACTTGCTGGTGTTTTTCTTGTTTGCATGTTTTCTTCTGTTGCAGGACTTTGAGATCTCTCGGCCAACATATTTTTGTTAATTTTTGTATCTATTATTAAGAATGCCACATACACATTTTGTAACATTTTAATTTATTGCTGTCTTTTTATTATCTTGTAATGTGAATTATAGTTATATTTGTTTGTCTTACTCTAGTATTGGCTTGTATTTGTTGTTTATCCTTTTATCTGGCTGAGATTTTCTTCCCTTCTCAATAAAATAATGTTCTTTGCATTTCTGTAGTGTCATTTTTTTTATTATACCTTGTTTTACACAGGAATAATTTCTGGTTCAGTTTTGGGACTCTGGTATAATATTGGCCCAGTTATGCTGTTTTCTGCAGCTTCTGGATAAGATGTGGCTGAGTTCTGGCCTAAAGGTGGTGGCAGTTTGGCTTTTGTCTGGCTGACATATGGGAGTACGGCGTTGTTTTGGCCAGTTCTGGTAATATCTGGGTACACTGCAAAGCTCTGGGCGAGTTTTGGTTTGCTCACGGCTTTGATCTGGTTGACTTACGGCAAACAGCACTTGGGCCAACCTTGGCCCGTAATTCCATGCGGTATGTGGGCCAAAATCTCAGCCGAAATTAAGCCAGATCCGGCCCAAGGCCAATTTGCTATCTGGGAAGCTCCACAGGAGAAAAATATGGGATCAGTATCTATGTAGCGTTACGTGCGGGTCTGAACAGATTCCTATGATCCACCGAGTTTGTCCTGGTGTCTGATAAGAGACAGCGAATTCACCTTATCCAATAATGTTTTCATTGGAGTCGTAAAGACAATGAGAAGAGAGGGTCGTGATAAAACGGAGCATCACACACCGATTTCTACTAAAGATTTCAGCACCATAAAACTGTCCGATGCGCTTTAATCCCACCACACCTGTCACTACACCAGTCACCGAAGCATTTCACTGCCCATTGGTTTGCTGCACGGTATTTTTTTTCATTACGAGTCTTCTTAAATGTATCAAATTTACATTTCAGCACTTCAGCATGACGGTTCGTATTTGTAGAAGTCTCTCCAAATTGTTCCTCAAACCACTTATCCATCGCCATCCATGCCACCTAGTATAAATCGAAATACCTAGTATAAAACGAAACATTTTAGCCTTTTTAAGTTATGTCTGTGACATTCTTGCTGCAACAGAAAACACCGCTGACAGCGCTGAGCCCCAACTAAAATATCACCGCAGTGGAGCCGATTGAAATGAGACAAATATAAATGCATGCACAATAAAGAGATGTTCAAATACATTTAAATAAACAACAATAAATAAAGTATCTCTTGTTAGGCAGCATTTTAGCAAATAAATGAATAACTAGATTAAAGACCTAACTGTTATCTATCAAAATATGTGCCTTTGTGTTTTTTTATTTTTTTATTTTAGATTTGTATTTTGCTGAGAGATAAGCTATGCCTATTTGTGTGAGGACATTTCACAAATTTTGTGTTGTAAAAAATAAAAAGAATGAGACAAAGTTTGAGAATGGTTTGTTGTTTTTATTTGAGCTTTCCTGCATATTACACATTGGAACGTTGTTGTTCACAGTCAGGGAGGGACTATTTTCTGGCGGAAGGAATGTTTTTATTGATTAAACTAAATGAAAGTTGCACTAATACATTGTTTTTTATTTTAATATTGTGTGGCAACCGTTTTATAAAAGCAATAAGGTACTCGAGGCAAGTGCTGTATCGTGAATAAGTAACGGCTGAAGGGTTGCAGGCACTCCGCTTCGCGTCGTGCCTAACAACGCCCTTCAGCCGTTACTTATTCACGATACAGCACAGCCTCTCGTACCTTATTGCTTACTTAACATGGACAGATTTGGTTATAAAGGGGGTATTATTTGGGCAGGCCGTTTTTACCCACCTGCCTGGATTGTACCCCCCCCAACTTTTTTTTCTAAATACAAATGGTTCCTAAAATGGGTCTGAACACCTACACCAGCAATACTGTGTGTAAAATGCTACATTTCACTCTATTAATATTGACAGATTTTGGTTATAAAGGGGGTATTATTTGGGCAGGCCGTTTTTACCCACCTGCCTGGATTATACCCCCCCAATTTCTTCTATCTAAATACACAAATGGTTCCTAAAATGGGTCTGAACACCAACACAAGCAGCAATACGTGTGTGTAAAATGCTACATTTTACTCTATTAACATGGACAGATTTAGTTATAAAAGGGGTATTATTTGGGCAGGCCGTTTTTACCCACCTTCCTGGATTATACCCCCCAATTTCTTCTCTCTAAATACACAAATGCTTCCTAAAATGGGTCTGAACACCAACACAAGCAGCAATACTGTGTGTAAATGCTACATTTTACTCTATTAACATTGACAGATTTAGTTATAAAGGGTATTATTTGGGCAGGCCGTTTTTACCCACCTGCCTGGATTATACCCCCCCCAATTTCTTCTATCTAAATACACAAATGGTTCCTAAAATGGGTCTGAACACCTACACCAGCAATACTGTGTGTAAAATGCTACATTTCACTCTATTAACATTGACAGATTTGGTTATAAGGGGGTATTATTTGGGCAGGCCGTTTTTACCCACCTGCCTGGATTATACCCCCCCAATTTCTTCTATCTAAATACACAAATGGTTCCTAAAATGGGTCTGAACACCTACACCAGCAATACTGTGTGTAAAATGCTACATTTCACTCTATTAATATTGACAGATTTGGTTATAAAGGGGGTATTATTTGGGCAGGCCGTTTTTACCCACCTGCCTGGATTATACCCCCCCAATTTCTTCTCTCTAAATACACAAATGGTTCCTAAAATGGGTCTGAACACCAACACAAGCAGCAATACTGTGTGTAAAATGCTACATTTTACTCTATTAACATTGACAGATTTAGTTATAAAGGGGGTATTATTTGGGCAGGCCGTTTTTACCCACCTGCCTGGATTATACCCCCCCCCCAATTTCTTCTATCTAAATACACAAATGGTTCCTAAAATGGGTCTGAACACTACACCAGCAATACTGTGTGTAAAATGCTACATTTCACTCTATTAACATTGACAGATTTGGTTATAAAGGGTATTATTTGGGCAGGCCGTTTTAACCACCTGCCTGGATTGTACCCCCCCCCCCCCCAATTTCTTCTCTCTAATACACAAATGGTTCCTAAAATGGGTCTGAACACCAACACAAGCAGCAATACGGTGTGTAAAATGCTACATTTTACTCTATTAACATTGACAGATTTGGTTATAAAGGGGGTATTATTTGGGCAGGCCGTTTTACCCACCTGCCTGGATTATACCCCCCCCAATTTCTTCTATCTAAATACACAAATGGTTCCTAAAATGGGTCTGAACACCAACACAAGCAGCAATACGGTGTAAAATGCTACATTTTACTCTATTAACATTGACAGATTTAGTTATAAAGGGGGTATTATTTGGGGCAGGCCGTTTTTACCACCTGCCTGTGTTATATTTCCCACCTATTTTCGTAAAATGGATAAAATACACAAACACCAGCAATACTGTTCAGTGCAACAATTTATTCTTTTAAAGTTAAGTTTGACTTGTACAGACAGCTCTGCTTTTCATGAGCGTATACCTGTATGAAAGTATACATTTTTACATTAATCACAGAAAAGGAACAGCATAAACAAGAACAACTGAAAGAACAAAGGTATACAAATGTGTTTTTTTTTCTGTCATGTCTGTTTAATTTTTACAGGCATAACACAGAAAGTGAACTTTTGATGTCCATTGGACACATGATTGGTGGTACCATCGACCGCAGCAGTCACACGCTATCTAAAATTGAGAAAAAA